TATTGCGTCAACAGTCAAGAAATCAGAACAGTGCCAAGTGCTGGAGAGTAGCTGGAGATCTCCTTAAGGGGAAAGACTGTGGAATTTCATCTTGTACACTCTGAGCATATCATCAGAAAGGGCTAGTCCTTGGACAAAGACATCATGCTTCACGAAGGAAGACACTTAATAAGATGGACTGATACCACAACTGCAACAACGGGCTTAAATTGAGAGTTTCAGGATGGCGCAGGAAAAGGTAGGTTTCTGTCTACTGTTCTTAAAGTTTCTAGGAGTTTGAGGGTACTTAACGTGAAAGGAAATACAGTGTAAAGGTTTTTTTGTACTGTCATTTTGCATTGTTGTTATGTATCTTCGACTTAGATCCAACTCATAGCTGACCCTCTAGTGGGTTTTCAGAGACTGTAAATCTTGCAAGAAATTGCCCTTCTTTCTCTCAAGTAATAGCTGGTGGATTTGAACTCATGACTTTGAATTGTCAGTGCAATTCCTAACCCTTAGGCCAACAGTTGTAGTGTTGTTGGGTGTGTTGAGTACTACTCACAGCAACCCTATGAAGAACAGATCTGAACCCTCTCCTACCCTGTACCATCCTCATCATCTCTGATATACTTGAGCGCAATGCTGCTGTCACTGTGTCAGTCTATCTTGTCGAGGGTCATCCTCTCTTTTGCTGACCTTTCCAAGCATGAGGTCTGCCTCTAAGGAATAGCCTCTCGTAGTAACACGCCCAAAGTATATGAGATGAAACTCTTGTCATCTTTGCCTCCAAGGAGCACTCTGGCTACATCTTCTCCAAGACATACCTGTTTGTTCTTTTGGCATTCCATGGAATATTCAGTACTTTGTCCAACACCACAGCTCAATGGCATAAATTCTTGACATCCTTATTCACTGTTCAGCTTCCAGATGCATAGCAAGTGATTGAAAAGATCATGGCCTGAACTGGGTGCACCTTATTAGTCTTCAAACTGACATCATTAAATCAATTTACCCTTGGAAAATGGCATTATGCTTGCAAAGGTGGAGGGTCCTCAGAAGAAATGGAGACCCTCAATGAGATGGACTGACAGTGCCTGAAGCAATGGGCTCAAGAATATCACAGATGATGAGGACGGCACAGGAGAGGTGGGGTTCAGATCTGTTCTTTATAAGATTCCTAAGAGTTGTCCTTGACCGAACTTAACAACAATATCACCTTTACCCACATCATAGATAACTGAGCTAACTGTATTTAAAAGAAACATTTTCGGGTACCTTGTGAACAAGGGGCTGAAGTCAATTTGAATAGATTTAATTCACTGTAAATTCAAGCTTGCAAAGGAAATAATCTGGCAGACCTACTTAGGTCCACAGAATAATCAATCAATCAAGTGTCCTCATCTGAAATTATGCTCTTGCTTTTCTGACTTAGCTTTATGTTTGCATAAATCTATGAGTAAAAAGAAAAATGCTTTTCTGGTTCTGAATTTCTGAAAATTACCTTGTGATTCTGAAATGAAAAAATCTTAAGCAGTTTACACTATTACAAAGTTATTCAAACTGTTGTTGAGTACCATCGAGTTGGAACCAATTCATAACTGACCCTCTAGCGGGTTTCCAGAGGCAGTTAATTGCACGAGAGGAGATTGCCCATCCTTCTCCCACAGAGCAGCTGATGGATTCGGAAAACTGTGTGCCTTTAGGATTGCAATGCAGTTTACCACTAGGCCATATAGTTCAAAATAAAATATATTAAGAGAAAAATACAGTTGTAGTTAGATCAGCATTGTCTAAAACAAATTAATGATATGTAAAAGGAGTTAAAACTGTAATACAATCAAGGGTCAGATTTCCACAACTAAAGAAAAGTGAAACATTAAGTATCAGCACGATATAGATAATTAATAATAGATACTGGGTGTATTCCGTTATTTGCATACCCACTTTCACCTTGCAAAACTTTCATGTCATAGAAGAATACAGTTTTACGTCTAATCAGCCAGGAGAAAACTATTTTATAAGAACCTAATATACATCTCATATCTAGCTGGTGCTGAGGGTTTATAAAAAGTACGAATATCTTTTTCTTTTCAAAGAGAGGAGCGAACTGGTGGGGAGGGGTGGGCAGGGAGAAAAGTGCAGCAATGAATGAATGGAAATCCAAAATCTCTGTAAATGTTTATTAAAATTAATAAAAATGGAAAAAAGTATGAATAGCTATGCACTTGATTTTAAAATCCAAAGAGGAGGGGGTGTTAATGAACATATTTTCCCCCCTGTTGTATTGTTGTTGAGTACTGTCAAGTCGGAACCAAACCATAACCGAACCTCTGGCGGAGTTTCAGAGGGAGTTAATCCCATAGGAGGACACTACACTTCCTTTTTCCGTGGAGCAGCTGGTGACCTCGAACCATAAGCCTTTGTAATAGCAGAGTAGCTTCTTGGCACTAGGCCACGAGAGCTCCCTTATCCCTTGGCCCCCTCCTCCCCCATTAAAATTTAAGAGTATTCTCTTAAATATGCTTTAGGAATTCAGAGTAGCAGAGATTAATATGGTTTGAAATTATTTAAAGAAAAAAAAGCTTTACTAAAGAGTTTAACTTAGTAAAAAATATTTAAAAAATACTGGCGAAAGTTTGCAGAGAATCTGTTTGACTCTAAACTTTACTTTTTATTTGTAAATGGACTCCATTTTATCAGCTACACTTCTGATATTTCTACCGGCACAAGAATATAATGCAGAAGGAAAAAAAAAATCTATCTTTTGGAGTAATTTTGCTTAATAGAAGTCTTTTTTAAAAAGCCACCGAGGGCGGGTGGAGTGAAAAAAATGGAAAGGATCTTTTGTGAAAAACAATGTATTAAAACTTTGTAAATAAGAATAAAATTTTTAAAAGGCCATCGAGAAGACTAACTCTATTCTTAATTTTAATAATACTTTATTTGATAAAGCTTTACTTGAGAAAAAAATATGTTATTTGAGACACAAAAATTGGAAAATTATTTCAAACTCTGGGGATATATGGATGAATAAAGCAGGTCTCATCTTTAAGAGATTACTGTTTGTGAAAACTTCTACAGTAAATTCAGAGGCCACAGTCAAGGAGGCCACCCAGTCAATCCTGAGTAGCAGGGACATACCAGCATGTGAGAAGAGGCTGCCCATTTTTCTGCTGCAGAACAGCTGTTGGATCAAAATTCAGCCCTTCATGTCAAGTATGATACCACTTGAGCTTCTGCTGAAAGAGTAGGAAAAGAACAAGCAATGATCTGGGAGGGTAAATGCCGAGTCAGTAACGGTAAAAGAAAGAAAATCCAAAAAAAAGGAAAACCACAATTAATTTAAGAAAAGGCCCAGTAGCATATCTGAATGCAAGTTGGGATTTCCTACTCTCACTGTCTCTATGGAGAGAGGGAGTCTTTAAAAACAAGTTACAACAATGAAAAATCTTTTTAAAGAGAAAAGTGAATGGGGGTTAGGGAGGAAAATGTGCAACAATGAATGAACGGAAATCCAAGTTTTCTGTAAAGTTTCATTAAAATGTCAACTAAAAAAAAAAAGAAAGTGAAAAGAAAAGGAAAAATAAAAACCAGATCATAAATAAATGTTAATGCTGACTTTTTTATTTGGGTGTTAATAGTTTACAAAATTGTATTTATTTCATACAAATATCTTCCAATGTGAGAAATTTCCTGGCAACTCAGTCGCTTAGAATTTCAAATAGGCTGTTGGCCACACAACACATGAATTATTTTCCATGAACGGGAGGGAGAGGGAAGCAATAAAAACGATTGTAGTCCGTTTGCTTCAGGGTTTAGTGCAAGAGTACAGCACCAGCATTAATAAAAGGAGCCTAAACATCCGAGTTAATAAGGCAATTAAATATGAATCTCTTGCAACTTCAAGGCCTCTCAAAATGTAGTTAACATTAGACTGATTTTACATCCATCGTGTCATTTAAAACAACACACGCACATATCTTTTTAAGCTTTGTCTAACCATTTACGGTTAACTTCATTATTAAAGAATTATTTTAAAATATTCTCGTGCAATATTAAACAGTAAACCGACGGTAAGGCTGCACCGCTTGGGAATGGGACTCGGTTATCATGTCCCGCAGTGACTTTAACTGGAAGTCAGGCCGGATTTCACAAAGGGGATGTGATGCCGAGCACAACACCGCCTGCACGTTTCGGTTGCTAGGAGAATCCCGTATTTTGTATGAGAAATCGCAGGCTTGGCGACGCCTGTTTGCACCTCTGAGGCCTGGTTTCCAGCAATGATTGCTCCTCCCCTATCGTGGGCGCTGCGCTTCAACACCAAGGACGCGAGGTTCGAATCCCCGAGTTGCTGAGCGGGAGAAAGGTGGGCAATTAACTAGTGCAGTTAACTGCCTCTGCAAACCCGCTGCAGGGTCAGCAATGGGCCGATTCCGACTCAGTAGCACACAACAACAACGACAACAACAACAACGTTCAATAAGTATGCTGAGCCAATAATACAGGAAGTTGGACTCCGGATTGGAGGAGAATCCGAGAGGAATACATTCTAAGTGCAAATGGTTTCTTGATTTTATTTATTTTTACGTGTGGTCTTATTCACGCACTGTAACTGACTCATGTCACTCAGCGTCATTTGCTCCCCTTTCATCCCTGTTCTGCTGGCCGCCGTAGGAGCGGGGAGGCCGGGTGGTGGGGTTCGAACTGACGCTGCGGCCGCGGCTTAACCTCGGCGGTGGAAAGGCGAGCCAGGCCACGCAGGGAAGACTCGGGGAGCGGTGTGTGTGGGGACCCCAGAAGGGTCGGAACCAAGGGGGGCGCCCGAAGTGTTACATAAGGCCCGCGCTAAGCGGGGGCACCCCCTTCGGTGCCTTGCCCCCCCCCCCGAGTCCGTTCGGGCCGGCCCCTCCGTTCGGCTCGCGGGGCGGGAGCACCCACCTCGGGGGCTCAGCCCCCGATTCCGGGTGGCCGGCCCCTCTGCGCGGCCCGCGGGGCGGGCGGGCGACGGGCGGGAAGCCATGTCCACCATTTCCCGGGCGACGCGCTCCGCGGCAAGATGGCGGACGAGGAGTCAGGTAAGCGCCGTGGGGCGGCCGCCCTCCGTGCTCACCGCCGCCCGGGCCGCCTGGCGGAGAGGGCCAGCCCGCCATCGTGAGCCCCCAGCCGCTGTGCGAGGGCGGTCGGAGGGAGGTGCCTCCGGGGGAGGCAGGAATGGAGGCCTCGCTCCCGACCCGCACCGCCGCCTCCGCGCCCCGG